GAGGACTAATAATTGGTTGGTTAGGCTTTCAAGATGGCCTCATGAATTGTAATCGTAGCCAATAAGAGTTTAGAATGTAATCATATTGAGATAATTTCAGAGAAATCGATTAGATATTAAATAAGAAAAATTAATTAATGAGCTTCTTATCTTAACGAAATAAAATAGTAACTTAATTATAAATTAATAACTCAAAAGTATAAGCATTTACTAAATAAACCAATTAACCAAAATTAAAATCTTTTTTTCATTAGACAATTTTTGAATATTTATAAAATGTTCTAATCATATACATAATTATCTAAAAATATTAATTATTTTAAAATTATATAAAAAAGTGACAAAACTATTTAAAATAACTTGCAAACTATTTTTTTGAAATTTATAAAACTAATTATTTTAAATCGTTTGAAATGAAGAAGCTCGACGATTAATCTATATGTGGAGGTCCAAAATTGGGTGTCAACAAATGTCCCTCTTTTGACTTGGATTGATGAATAAAATTCAGGGCAAATGAAATTTATGAATCTAATTTTGATCGACCACAACTTCATCCTTTAGAAAAAATGACTTTTGGTACGAACTTTAAGAATTATGGTCGAACCCTTGAAATAGGTTTCCTACATATCTCAGGCTATATGAGAATTCAGGCCACTTGTAGTCCGATAAACTTGATTTGACATACAATTTTAAAAGAATTCAAAAGTCATTCTGATATCGAATTATGAAGAGACCGGAAAGCTTGAAAATATTATTTAAGAACGAATTTCGGACTACATACAAGTTTTAAACACTGATCCTGCCTACATATCCCCCAATTTAAGAAATCAGGTTGCTCGTAGTTCAACTCGATCAATTGAAAAGGAAATCTCTTCGTTTTAAAATAACCTTCGTTTTAAGATCAACTCGTACTAAGATAACCTTCAGTTGGGAAGACTGACGAAATAAGTCGAGTATGAAAAAGAGGCTTTCAACTTCTTAGCCATGAATGTGGTGCACTTCATACCCATAACTAAGAAATTTCAATGCTCTTGGTGCATTGCCACTCATATTAGGAAGTTGCAGGTGGAAACCAAAATTTTCCGTATGCGAAACTGAAACCAATAAACCTAAAGAAAAACTCACATGCCTTCTAATAGGGTTGTGGTTTGATTGTGCTGAAAGTTGATCCTCAATTCGCATCCTAAGAATTTGATACTTCACTTCAGACTATGTCTTATATCGATGCTAAGAAAAGTTCCATTTTGTGTTGCATCCTTGTTGATGTCGTCCGTACCTGTTGTTTGATTTGAGAATTCAATATTTTGGATGCTCTCGACACAAACTAAAATTAACTTGTTAGTATAAACTTTATTGGAAACAATAGTAGCATCTCTTACATTACTTCTTAGTTATCTTCTCCCAAGTTTTTTTGGGTACGCCATTGTCTTGGTGTTTTAAAATCTCTCTTGCTTAGAAAGATTGCGTATATGTATGTTCAAAATATGTTTGCACACTCAAAGTAAATAATTAGTAGACATAGTGTCGCTTAAGCTAGCAGCTTGAGTTAGAAAGTAAAGAAAGATCATTCATATAATAATAAATATATTTTTATGGATTATATGGATAATCATAAACATATTTGTTAATTAAATGAGAAAACAAAGAAATATTGAGAAAAGAAAATGGACACCGCTTTCGAAAATCGATGTCTATTGAGATTACATATAGGTATGTTCAGAATATGTATTAGCATACTTATCTTATTGTGATTTTCCTAGGAGAGTAGTTAATAATTTGTTGGTTCAAGGTAACAGTGTAAAACATTTTAAATTGTTTAATAATTATTGTAAACTAATGAAAAACCTTGTTGTGTTGTAGGTTTACTATCATATGAAAAAAAAGTTTCATATGTCGATCTGTTATGAATTTGTGTAGATATATCTTAAATGGTTATGAAAAAATAGAAGTAGAAGTCGATTCAGAAATCAATATGATAAAAGAGATTAATCTTAAAAGGACGAAATTGGTTTCTGAGTCGACTTCTACCTTAATCTCTTTTACCATATTGATTTCTGAATCAACTTCTACTTCCATTTGCTCGTAACCATCTAAGATATATATATACACATTCATAACATATCGACATATGTGACTTTTTTTCATATAATAATAAACCTACAATACAACAAGGTCTTTCATTAGGTTACAATAATTAATCTGTAAGTGTTTTACAGTATTACCTTGCACTAACAAATTATTAACTACTCTGCTAGACAAATTCAATATGATAAGTATGCTAATACAAATGAAGCAACTAAATTAATTATAATAGATAAGATCCCTCGTGATATATTGTAGAAACTATAAGGGAACTATCTAGACAAACATCTCATAAACCAGACAAATCATAGAAAAACCACTATCAAACTATTATTTAACTTTTACATTTTATAAAGGGATAATGCCCAAGTACCCCCTCAACCTATGCCCGAAATCTCAGAGACACACTTATACTATATTAAGGTCCTATTACCCCCCTGAACTTATTTTATTATTAATTTTTTACCCCTTTTCGACCTACGTGACACTATTTTGTGGGCCCAATGATGATTGACTTTTTTTTTCCAAACTAGTGCCACGTAGGCTAAAAAGGGGTAGAAAATTACTTATAAAATAAGTTTAGGGGGGAAATAGGACCTTAGTATAGTATAAGTGTATCTCTGGGATTTCGAGCATAGGTTGAGGGGGTACTTGTGTATTATCCCTTTTATAAATTATTACATATCTTATTTTTAAGATTACATAACTCTAAGATCGTGATTTGTTTGAACAAATGCAGTGCTTTTGTTCAAACTTTTTTTTTCTTTTTGCACAGTTCCTTCCATCTGATTTATAAGTGCCATTTTCTTCTCTAATTGTTATTATCACATGAGCTGTTATTGAAACAACCAAAGCATCCAACATTAACATGATAAACATAAACCCAAATTTAATGATCTGTGAAAATAGCTTAATAGAACATCTTCAACATTGACTTATGCATATTGCATACACCTGATGCATATTGTTAGCACCAATGTATAATTTAATTTTCAGGTACATGTAGTATGCATTAGGCAAAGTAGAAAATATTCTACTAAGCCAGTCCACAAGACCATTGAATCTAGATTAATACTCCCTCCATCCACTTTTATTTGCCATGTTACATTTTTTGGAAGTAAATTTGAATAATTTTCAAAGTTAAATTAGATTACATTAATTCAATATTTTTTAAAAATAATTTAGATATTCAAAAACTATATGAAAGGTACTATAAATTGCAATTTTTTCCATATCAATATAATGAAAAAATACATCTTAAAATGTTAGTCAAAGTTTTTATACTTTGACTCTAAAAATAGAAACCATGAAAACAATAGTGGACGAATTAATCAACCCACTGATGGTTTTTGTAATTGTTAAAAATAATACTTGTGTGATATTAACAATAAGGGCAGCAAGAAGAAAAATGTATCTGTGTGAAACACTTATAAAGTAAATGCAAGCAACTCAACAAGAAGAGACGAAAAATATAATTACTATTTTTTTTCAAAAGATAACTTTACTTTAAAGATTTAAAATCGATCGATTTAACTTCTATTTAATCAAATATAATAACTAACTGAAACTGCAAAATTCTATTCAAGCATAAGTATGATGGATTCTTTCCAATCTACTTCCTTTATGATTTCATTTGAAATCATATAAAGACAATTCCCATTTCATATAGCTATTTGTGCAAGTATTTTACAGTTGAGAAGCAACTGTACAAATCGTGTATTAATATATTATAACTATAGGATACTCCCCTTTCGCGAATTACTGCGTTTATCCTAGTGATCCACAAACGATGAAAATCTCTCTTTTTCCTATCCCTATCTCGATGAGCCGAAACTAAAGCTCTTATTTTCTGCTGAGTAATGGTTTTAGTAAGCCTTGAATGAGCCCCTCGAAAGCTTGATGCAAATAAAATAATTTTTGTTCTACGTCTCCGAGCTATATATCCCCGTTTAACTCTGGTCATGAATAAATGAAACTTTGACAAATAACTAATTGATTACCTTCTTTCAGTTATATTTTTCCTCCTTCCTAGTCTATTAATAGCAAAATGAGGAAATAAGATTATTTGCAAAAGATATTTCATTCAACTATCCAAACATAAACTCATGTATCATTGAACAAACAAATAAAAAAGGAAAGGAAGAGAAATTAAATATATTTTAGGATAAAGTTATTAGTGTAAGTTTTTAAGAGACCACATAGAGCTGGACTTTTATAGTAAAAATGTGATTTTTATAGGCTTATTAATTAGTAAACCAAATTAAATATATATAAATTTATATCTTTTAGAATAAGAATAGTTCATTAAAAAATTTAGAGATATGTCACCTTAAATTTTGGAGATTAAGCTTAAACTATTTTAGGATGACGTTTTTAGATGTATATTGTTATGAGGTCACAAGTAGTTACAAAAGGATTGTACAAAGAACTCAATAATATTTCTTATGGAATATAGTCAAGTGATAATGCGTCAAATCGTACAGTATTCAACAACACATCTTAAGTGTTAAGTCTAATTCCATAAGAGGGAAGTGAACAATTATCGATAACTATTTCTATTACGAGTATTTATATTAACTTGTGCACCATATAATAATAGTTAAGGACTTTATTCAATCAAGCTTCAACCACCGTGATAGAATTAGGTAGAATATATTCATTACCGATAGATTACAAATTTACTATTTTATCTTCTTTGTCTATGTAATATTTTTATGTATTGAGTTAAGAATTCTATTCTTCAAAATCCTTTTAGGGTGGAATCTTCCCGAACATTTATGGTGATTTATTATTTTATCACTCTATTAGCTTGACATTATAGGTGATCTCATGTAATTGTGTACGTATGTATTTGTATTAATATATGTTAAATATAGAAAACTTGGACTTGGACTTGGGGCTTGGGCTTTGATCGAAACTTAAAATAAATATTTCATCTATAGATAAGAATTTTTTTACCGACAAGAGCAACACATATAGAAATAAGGGCTAGATCATACATATATTTATATGTAATGCTATAAAAACTATACAAAATAGGTCCAAAATAAAAGATATCAAATAGAAGATGTAGATAATGACAGTTTATGTACACTCAAAAATAATATTGTGATGATCGTTTTTGAGAAATATCTTCACAATATCTAGGCATGGTTGCAAAACAGTATTCGTCCATGCTTCGTCAAGATCTTCTTCTCTATCTTCTTTGAAAACGTCCGTAGCAATAATATGATGCACTGACCACATTTTCTCGCTTCTTAATCGTTGAATCTTGGCAAGTTGGTTACAAATTAACATACGAGTATTACGCTTGATACTTGAAATTGAATCTTGAAGAATCATCTGCTTTGATTCATCATCTCCGTCTATATTTGTTTCTTCCCTTAAATATCTGTCCATTTCAGGGACACCGATGGACCGTCGGATTCCTTTGGTGTAATCTGCATCTGGAATGAAAATTTGGCGCACCTCATCCACTAGCCCTACATGCAACACAAATTTAAAAAAGAGTTTTATTTAGTAGAACATATATTTGATAACCAAAAGTATGATTAAGAAAATTACATAAGAAAAGTTTTTAGCTAGTTGCATGATAGTATATCTTGATTGATACACAAAATAATTACAAAAATTACCTGCTTTGACCATTTGATCAACCCTCATGTCAACTCTACGGTTCAAGACTGATTGCTCAACATCAATCCAAATAAAGCAACTATCATACTTATATTTGAACATGAAAACAGGATCTTCCACAAGTTTTTCAATATATGAATTTGACCCTCCAACAATAATTGGAACACATTGAGTCTTCAGTATTTTTTCTATATAGATGACAGCTTGCAAACAAAAATCTTCAGCTGTGAAGTCTGAATCTGGTTCAATTTCACCTAAGAAAATGTGATCAAATTAACTTTCTCAGAATTGAAAGAAATAAATTTTAAATAGTATAGTATATTTTTCACTAGAATCTATAATTACTACTATAAAATTATCTAGGTAGTCATTTGATATAAGTAGTCTTGAGAATAAACATATATACCTAACAAATAGTGTCGTACACCTTGTGTTTCAGTGTGTGTGATCTTGTTTGTAACAATTTCAAGTCCCTTGTAAACTTGCATTTTATCCGAGTTGATTATTTCTCCTCGAAAATGGGTGGCAAGGTCAACAGAGAGACGGGATTTTCCAGTTCCTGTGGCCCCCATTATGAAGATAACTTTCTTCTTGAACTCTTCATTGTTGATGAACGTATTCATTTTATCTAAAAAAAAATAGTTTATAATAGTGAATTCATAAAATCAGACATTATCAAATCTTGTAGATATAAAGCTAGTAAATAAAAACCTTGCTTGACTTTTAATATAGTATCTAAAATTATAAAATTTTCTTGATGGTGGATGTGATAAAAAAAATACATTCAGCTTTTATAGTAAAATCTTCTTGTGGAGTTATTAATTGACATACCAATTTCATAATTACTGATATATTTTAGGATAAGAATGACTTTTAAAAGTTTATAGATATGTCAACTTGAATTTTGGTAATTATTATTAAATATATTTAAGGATAAAGTTATTAGTGTACGTTGCTAGGACACCACATAGAGCTGGGCTTTTATAGTAAAAATGTGATTTTTGATAGACTTATTAATTAGTAAACCAAATTAAATATATATAAATTCATATATTTTAGAATAAGAATAGTTCATTTAAAAATTTAGAGATATGTCACTTTAAATTTTGGCGATTAAACTTAAATTATTTTAGGATGACGTTTGTAGATGTATATTGTTGTGAGATCACAAGTAGTTACATAAGGATTGTATAAAGAACTCAATAATATTTCTAACGGAATATATTCAAGTGATGATGCGTCAAATCTTACACTATTCAATAACACAATCATAAGTGTTAAGTCTAATTCCATAAGAGGGAAGTGAACAATTATCGATAACTATTTCAATTACGGGTATTTATATTAACTTGTGCACCATATAATAATAGATAAGGACTTTATTGAATCAATCTTCAATCACCGTGATAGAATTAGGTAGAATATATTCATTGTCGATAGATTACAAATTTACTATTTTATCTTCTGTATCTATGTAACATTTTTAAGTATTGAGTTAAGAATTCTATTCTTCAAAACCCTTTTAGGATGGAATCTTCCCGAACATTTATGGTGTTTTTTTATTTTATCTCTTTATTAGCTTGACATTATGAGTTATCTCATGTTATTGTGTATGTATGTATTTGTATTAATATATATTAAATATAGAAAACTTGGACTTGGACTTGGGGCTTGGGCTTGGATCGAAACTTAAAATAAATATTTCATCTATAGATAAGAATTTTTTTTACAGAAAAGAGTAACATATATAGAAAAAGGGTCATATCATACATATATAGTTGTAATGCGATACAAAGTGTACAAAATAGGTAAAAAATAAAAGAGACCGAAATAGAAGATGGCGATGATGACACTTTATGTACACTCAATAATAACATTATGATGATTGTTTTTTAGAAATCTCTTCACAATATCTAGGCATGGTTGCAAAACAGTATTCGTCCATGCTTCGTCAAGATCAACTTCTCTATCTTCTTTGAAAACGTCCGTATCAATAATATGATGCAGTGACCACATTTTCTCGCTTATTAATCATTGAATCTTATCAAGTTGGTTACAAATTAACATACGATTATTACGCTTGATACTTGGAATTGAAGCTTGAAGAATCATCAGCTTTGATTCATCATCTCGGTCTATATTTGTTTATTTCCTTAAATATGTTATTCAACCTATATTATAAGGTTAGCCTAAAACGACAGAAACAGAATAAGATAAAACAGAAAGTAAATAGAATACAAGAAGTAATTTGAGTCAACAGAATCTACTGTGTGTCCTTAAGAAATTTAATCCCTCACTGTAGCAAAGGTTATGGATTAATTTCTCCCAAGATAAAATGGATTAATCATGTTAACGAAATAGCGGTACCTCAAATTTCTTTAACTTCAGTGAACTTCAGATCAGCAACAAGTCACAAAGACTCAGTCGATCAACACTTTGATTTGCTTGAGAGAAAAATTAATGCAGACCAAGAAAAAATTCAGTGTTTAAAAAAACAAAAATTGAATTCCTTTTATTTCTATTTTCGGCAAGAAACATGTCTGTTCATACCTGTTTTATCTAGAAAGTTGTGTCTTTTGGAAATATAACAACTTTTTTGAAAAATAGGTCTGTTAGGAAAATAACGGCTTTTTGGAAAGTAATGACTTTTCTAAAAGAGTAACAACTTTTCGAAATGTTACTGTTACCTGCAAATTTATAAGATATAATACTAACAGGATTTATTTGATTTAACAAAAACTGATTAAATAAATTTTGTCCAAAAAATTTATCAATCAATCACATCATTTTCCAAATCCAAATCCAAATCCAAAGTCGCGCGATGATGACGGCGGCGCGAGGGGGCATCTTCTTCTTAGCTCTTTAAGAAGTAATGGAAGTGTTTCCTTATATAAGGACACCAATTTCCCTTTCTTTTGCAGATATGGGAGACATGACTTTTCATTTGCACTTTGCAAGTGACTTTTCATTTTTTCTCCAAAATAGTTCCCTCACTTTTCATATTCTCTTTTCTTTTCCCATCCGCACTTGCTAAACCCAACAATCCCCCACATGAATGGGGAAGGCTATTGTCAAAACATATGCATGAAAAAACTTGTGTGTCTTGTATGTAAAGGTTAATCGCATCTGGATAAGTAGGTTTCCCTTTAAACTTTTCGTAGTGAATATATATCGGATATACTCGGTGAATCGGTAGATTTGATATCTTTGAACTGTCGAGATTTTGTGTATACCTAGACAATATATGTCACACAATCAAATTTTGAATCGTTCTTAGTTCTCATTGGTTTGTTCGTTTCAGCCATGAACACATCTTGGATAGTAAGTGCTTAAAGAACTGGCCTTACCGGATTCTCCTTGAAGCGGCTTACAGTTCACACTTACATAGGTTATTTCTAAATATGTTATCCCATAGATACACCATTTGATATTCCCTGTATCAAACTTAGAAACCATTAAAAAGTCCTTATTTCTTTATCCTGGTTACTAAACATTGTCTCATCATTAAAATGAACCATAAAATAATAATTTTTTTTGACAACGTTGAACCGTCATCAATGACATTGTTTTATCTCCTTGAACCTAGATCTTGGGATCTCCAGTCTTCTAGGTAGATTTACCGCCACGATGACTTTTTCTTGGCCATAGTCTCATTCTCGTCGATGATTTCTCAACTCCCTCTCTAGTCAGGCCTTTTGTAAGTGGATCCGACACATTATCTTTTGACTTCACATAGTCAATTGTTATAATTCCACTAGAGAGTAGTTGGCTCACAGAGTTATGTCTTTGTCTTATATGACGAGATTTTCCGTTATACATAATGCTTCCAGCCCTTCCTATTGCAGTTTGACTATCACAGTGTATGCATATAGGGGCCATTGGTTTGGGCCAAAATGGAATATCTTCGAAGAAATTCCGGAGCCATTCAGCTTCTTCACCTCCCTTGTCTAAAGCAATGAATTCAGACTCTATTGTAGAGCGAGCTATACATGTTTGTTTGGATGATTTCCGAGATATTGCTCCTTCACCAATAGTAAAAACGTACCCACTTGTGGATTTTGTTTCAGTTGACCTAGTAATCCAATTTGCATCACTATATCCTTCAATAACGACTGGATATTTGTTGTAATGTAAAACATAGTTTTGAGTGTCATCTAAGTATCTCAAAACTCTCTTCATTGCCAACCAATGACTTTGATTAGGATTACTAGTGTATCAACTCTGTTTACTGATAGCGCAAGCTATGTCTGGTCGTGTACAACTCACGACGTACATTAAGCTTCCCAATATGATAGCATAGTCCAATTGAGACTGACTTTCACCTTTATTCTTTGCAAGATGAAGGTTTACATCAATTGGAGTCTTTGACCTTTTAAAAAATTCAAAAATTTGAATTTTTCAAGTATCTTTTGAATATAATGAGTTTGAGACAATTCTAGACCATTAGGTGTTTTAATAATTTTAATTCCTAAATCACATCAGCAACTCCTAAATCTTTCATATCAAATTTACTAGCGAGCATACGCTTTGTAGCTTTTATATTAGCAATGTATTTTCTCATTATAAGCATGTCATCTACATATAGGCATACAATGACTTCCTGATTTGGAGTATATTTAATGTAAACATATTTATCACATTCATTGATCTTAAATCCATTAGACAACATGGTGTGATCAAACTTTGCATGCCATTGTTTTGGTGCTTGTTTTAGTCCATAAAGTGACTTAATAAGTTTGCACACTTTCTTTTCTTTACCAGGAACTACAAAACCATCAGGCTGTTCTATGTAAATTTCTTCTTCAAGCTCTCCATTTAAGAAGACTATTTTCACATCCATTTGATAAATTTCAAGACCGTATACTGCAGCTAGTGCAATTAACATCCGAATTGATGTAATCCTAGTAACTGCGAGTATGTGTCAAAATAATCAAGACCTTCTTTTTCTCTAAAACCTTTGACAATAAGTCTTGCTTTATATTTGTCAATAGTTCCACCATCTTTCATCTTCCTTTTAAAGATTCATTTTGAACCCAAGGGTTTGTTCCCTGGAAGAAGATCAACCAACTCCCAAGTGTGATTGCTTAAGATTGATTCAATTCCACTATTAATAGCCTCCTTCCAAGAGGTTGATTTGCTAGACAACATTGCTTCCTTGAATGTTTGAGGCTCACTTTCAAGAAGAAATATTACAAAATCAGATCCAAATGAAGTTGATGTCCTTTGATGTTTACTGCGTCTTGCACTTTCTTCATTGAGTTCATTCTCTTTTGGTTCTTCTCTAGGTTGTTTAGACCCCCTACTAGATGACTCAAGTCTAGTTTTATACGGATAGATATGTTCAAAAAATTCAGCACTATCTGATTCCATTATTGTATTATCATGAATATCCGAATGTTCGGACTTATGAACCAAAAATCAACATGCCTTACTGTTTGTGACATATCCAATGAATACACAATACACAGTCTTAGGACCTATTTTTACCCTCTTAGGTATAGGAACTTGGATTTTGGATAAACACCCCCACACTTTGAAATATTTCATGTTGGGTTTTCTACCTTTCCATTTCTAATATGGAATTACATTTGTCTTTGAGTGAGGCACTCTGTTAAGTATTTGATTTGT